TATACGGTGATACCATGACTTGTAGTGATTTCTTGCAGCACAATTTCAATACTTTGGTATTTTTTTTGCCGCCCCCACAAAAAATGGTCAAGAAATTAAAAATCTTTAACTGATTTTACCACTTTTGAAATATGCGAAGTTATTCTGAATCCTGTTTTAACTTACAGTTGGGTACCCCTATTGGCACCCTCTTTCAGCCATAAAACGTTTTTAGTTGAACACACTGTCACTGATAACTCTCTTAGCGGAAAGCCTTTATCAAACGTTCAAGTGTAGGGATTTTATTTTTTCCCATTAAATGTTTTGCATTTATTATATGAACTACAGTATTTTGACATAAAATGCGTCAAAAAAACCATATTTTTTTAACCACATGCGTTAAGGTATCAGGACGGGATTTGTACAACACAGATTTCACAATATTTTGCCTAAAAAAGTATACATTTTCTAAAAGCCACATAAATGTAGTTTTTGATGATATGGTATTTACAATTGTCTGTTTTTGGACAAAAATTTTATTGGGTTTGAAGTGATAATCTACAGCACTTCTTTTGACAGTTTTCAGCATCTCTTTTTTAAGTGGCTTTAGACCTGATAACTATTAAAATCTGCGAGTTAATTAGAAAAAAATCTCACGAATAAATCATTAGCCTTTGGTCCAATTGGACCAACTATACACGTCACGAACATGGCCTTTTGTAATTCAACAGATGTTTCTGCATGCCAATAAGACGTTTGTATGATACTGAGCGTCTTTTGACTCCCACTACCATAATGCTTCGCGAACATTCTTTCTTATCTAAATTCGTATTCCCTCATGAGAATTGTAAGACAATTGCTGCTAATTAACTGAACAAAAGAAAGTATTCAAAGGGATTCTGGTGCTGGTAGTAAATCAAATGACGCCATAATACAAGTGTCCTATTTCAGCCTTGACGGTAACTAACTAAGGGAGTCGGTTATTACATTACTCAAGAAACGCCAAGACAATTATCGGCAATATCGGCAATGTCTCGGCATAATCTAGACTTCATGGAAACAACTTTGATCGAATCTGTAGGGGATTTTCCTATTACAAAGAAAATATAAAAAGCGTCCAATAACACGTCAGATCTTTATCATCATACATTATTAAACAATATTTTTGGCTTCAATTTACTTCGCAAAAAAATTCTATAAATTTGTATCAAAAAAGTTACTCACTCGATTATTTTGGTGAAGGAATAAAGGAATGAATGAAGGGATTTGGCTTTGCTCTCAATAGTTTCCTCATAGCTCATTGCCTATTCAAAATTTTCGCAATTAAATAATAAAGATAATTAGTATTTTTACACAAGTGAATATAATAAATCCGGCGTGCTCATTGGTTACAATTTACGTCTTATGCTACTATATTCACCTACAGGTGAATATAGTGCTCACGCGCTCGCTCGCTTGTCGATTTGTGCCGCTTCCAGAGATAAATAACATTGAATGATGTCAGAGCAGCACTATGCCAACGATATTGGAATTGAATAAGTTAGTTTCAAAGAGTTTTCACTTTGTATGGTTTAGTTGAACAAGTTAAGATGGGGAAAAAGGTTTCGTCATTTTCCACTTTTCCACGTGGTCATGTAAAAGGCAAAACATATGTAAAGCACAAAATCAAATGTAAGTATATTAAATTATTCTACAAATAACTATTTTATTTAAACGAAAAAGGAAGGGAAAACAGCCACTTTTGGCAGCAGTGGCATATTTTCGTCTAAGACATATTTTGGCATATTTTACACGCAAAACAGCATATCGTCTAAGCTTCTAATTTTATCAATACCCTGAAACAAACTCTGGCTTATTTAAGTGAACTCACAGATCGAACCCTAAAACAACCTCTGGGCCTACTGGATCTAATAACGTCAGTACACGGCTAACTCACTGATTGAACCCTGAAACAACCTCTAGTCCAATCGTTGGTTTCATGAGAGAGGAAATTCGGACACTGGAGATTGTTTACTATTTTATTCGGATCTCCCCAAATAAGGAGACAACTCGAGTTTTATTTTGGTATAGAATATTCATGCATAAAAAAAACAGAGCAAAGGAGTAAAATACCTTAATATAAATCATTAATAATCAACGAGCGTTTCAAGAAATTTTGTTTTGTTTTGGATTCCAGACTCGAAAATAGAGGGATCGACTGACTTCTACATTTATATTTTACATTTATTATCTTTTTTGTCGACTATTTTTTAATGTTTCCGAATGTCCTGTAAGTGTCCTGTAAGTGTCTGTCAACATGTTAGTTATCTATAATCTCCGTGTTACGTAAGAGTGCGCGAGAGTCACAGTAAGATAATTATTCAGGTTTCTTTTGCGCTTTAACTCTACGAGCTATACTAGTCGTTACATAATGTAAGTGAAGAGCTGCGGAGATATATGAAAGACCACATTTTACCAACAGCCAGCATCAAGATACTTGAAAACACTCATCAACAATAGCAATATATCAATTAATCAGAATAAAAAAGATCGATTCAGTTTTTTCATTACTTAAGTTTATAATTTGTCCTACAGTGTAGTAGCAACGATGTAAACACAACATGCAGACGCATCGATCGTTTAATCGGCTTACATATTTCAATGTCTTCGCGAGCAAAGTCCTCTCACTTGTAAAGAGTTTATCATTTTTAATTCGTCTATTGAAATCCTGTTCACCTCTTTTACTTTTGTAATCTCACTCAGCCAGCTTTCTCGCCATAATTTGTGTTGCTCGTCTTTTCAGTGCATAACGTAGCTTGAATATTCCAATGCCTTTTGTTCTTCTACAGCTGTCACAGCCGAATATTCAGCTACTATCACCAGGCATTACGTTCCCAAGGACGTAACGAAGAATCGAGTTGAATATAGAGTATATACATAATAAAATACGAAAGAAATCTACAAAATTATCTAATCTTACGACACGACTCTATACTTTAAGTTCTGTTTTGTTTTATTTACCGAGCATTCTCCGAAGACACGCTATGACACGACCGATGTCCGAGCATATTCCGAGCATCCTCCGAGATATCCGGCTGGAACGACGCCGTGATCCAAATCCGAGATTTTGCTCGCATACAGTCCACTGGGTTCCCAACATGCAATAACTGTTGTGTCGTGATTAGTGTTGCTGCTCGCCTTGCGGCTTCGCAGCAATTACGATAGATAAATACTATACTATACCAAATAAATACCAAACATAGTCACTATGGCTAGCTGCAAAAGCTAAATAAATGGCAAATGATTATTGCAACCTTTATTCCTTTTTATATTTCAATCAACATTAAAATAAGTTATCTATAGAAATATTCATTTATTTTGAAGCAACCAGTATTTGAAATATGTCATTATTTTTGATACTGTTTATCTTTGGAGTGTCACATAAAATAGAGTTAAGTCCTTAGTTGTAAACGCTTCATGAAGTCCAGTTGTTTATCATGAATTTTCATTTGCTAACACGTTCATCTTTACTGTTGCGGTCGTCGTTGGTCATCTTCTTTAGTCAGTCACAGTCACGCTTAAGTAAAATGCTTCTCCTGTGCTCTGTCAGTTAACTTCACTGACTCTATTTACCTCTTTCTGTAAAGATTTAGTCTAAATTTCAATACGAAATCTTTAGCTTCATCATTGCCTAATAACACCAATTTCACGTGGCTCAAGAATGGCGATATCATTTGATATGTTTTAAACAACCAACAGGGCGGGCATCGTAAGGGTAATATCTGGACTCCATATTATGTATTTTTGCAGTTTTTCAAAATTATTTCGATATGAGAAGAAAGGAACAACTCTCTTCTGAATGTATAGTTTAAATACAATTGGTAGAGTAGTTCGTATTAAGGGTATCCCCTGTCGCGCTTCTGACTGTTGATTGTTTAATGTCACTGTTAATCTGAGTGCTCTGTTTGCTATACTTAAGCTTGCTATTAAAGCTCGCTAGCACTCAACACTTAAACATTTCCCATCTTAAAAAAATAACAACAACAACAAAAATAAGAACAAAACAGAAAAAAAAAACCGGAAATTTTTAAACAGCTTTTTAATTGGCTAAGATTGATCAGGTGATTAAGTAAGGTTCGCAGCGGCCATTTTGATTTGTTTTTGGCAAATTCAGTATCCTAGCTTCTTGATGTTCTCTTTTTGAGTTTTAAACGAAACGTAGTGCATTAAAAGAGAACAAAAATGGTAAAGACATATTCAATTTTTATATTTGACAAGCCAGTTAATATCAATTCATTCGCTGTTAAAGAATTTGGTTACGAGTTTACTTCGGTTTACATCGGACTTGATGTTTGGAGTGTCATAGTGTAATCTGTTGCAATGTTAATGACTTAGAATGCTACTCACAAGCTTTATGCCCCTTCTTTTTACAGGAGTCAAATAGCAGAAATGCTCATATAGATGGACGAACGAATGAAAGCTGTGAGGTAAACATTCAACAAATTACGAATTTGTTTTATTGAAATATCGAAGAAGCTCAGTCTTGTAATATAGTATCACTCCTATTTCCTAGCTCATGTTTTTGAGAAAACCTATTTTAAAAGAAGCATTTGTTTAGGAAGAACTAGTTGGAAGTAAGATAGCTTGTTTGGAGACTAAATGCATGGGAAAATGTTGTAAAATATCAGTTTTCGAGTCAGAGGTAAAAGTATTCTAGACTTGTTGCTAAAGAAAAAGTGTCTCTTTACTACTTTTAAAATGTTTGAGAATTTTTGAGCACATCTTTGGTCAACATATCAAGCTTTACTCTATATGTTAGTGTCGAAGTTGGAGTATGATCAATTCCATAACTGGTTGTAGTTGACATAGAACTGAAGAGCTTTTCATCTATCGTTAGCTGCAGAAATCTCTCTCAAAAATCCGATAAACCTATTTAACATTGATTGATCTACCTTTATACGCAATTTTTGGAAATCAACTCGAATTTTTTACCGAAAAAATTAGAGTAAAACACAGGGAAATACGACACTCAATGTTTGATATGAAAAAGTAGGGGTATTTTCCTCGTTTTTCACTGGTGACAAGGGTATAGGGCACAATTGGCATCGGCTTTTTTCATTGGAGAAGGTTGAGCAAGTTCTAGATAGAGTCAAAGAATAACACCTCAAGTTCTACAAAACTAAATGTTATATTAAGGATAAAAGGAAGTTTTTATATAGACACGTATTGACAATTGATGGCCTAGAACCAGTCCCATTGAATGTCAGAGCCATACAAGAGATGTCTTCATCTAACAGCATCAAAGAACATCCTTCAATCCTAGAACATTTATGGGTCTAGTAGTTCAATGCCGAGGAAAGTTTCTACACAAATTACCAAAGGAAAGTGCTCCTCTAAGGCAGTA